CTGGAAACTTTAGTTGACCAAGTAGCTATTGTGAACGCTAATTCAAAATAATAGCACATAGCTCTTTATTTGTGCACTGGCCAATTATGTTGGCAGCAGTTGTGTAAATTAACCGTTTACAGAGCAGTTCCCTCTTCTGCAGCCTCCCTCTTGTCTGCATCAATCCTCAAGAGTCACTCCGTCAAACTCTTCAAACACCGTGGTTGTCTTTTTTAAGATCATGGCCATGGCCATAAGATCCTGCAAGAGTGTCTTCTGTAAAAGGTATCACAAATGAACAGTAAATGCACTGAAGAGGAAAGTATAAAGCGCCAACAGCGACTCCTTGGACACCTATCCTTGGGTGTGTTCAAACTAAATTAAGGAAAAATGGTTAGCAAAGAACATAAAGAGTCTTTTTTTTTTTCTCGGACTAGTTGAAGTCATCTCAGTTTTCCTTCCTGCTCTATTTTTCCCCCTCAGTCAAGTTTAAGACAATAAGCTAATAGACCAAGTCTTTGCCCAAGTCTGCACCTCAGTCCAACATGGCTATCAAACTGGTTAACTTAAGTTTTAGTGGAAACCAGCAAAACTAAAATCAAGACAAATGTGTGTACAGCCACGCTCATAAGGTAGTAAACAAGAGGTTAAACAGCAATTATATCTCTGCTGTTAGTCTATTTGACATGTGTTTTTGCTAATCCACATATGATTTCCTGACTTTGTGATTGTCCTACATGTAACAGAACCAGTGCAAAGCTGATGGTAGGTTTTGTTTGTAAAACATGCCATCTATTATTAAATTTGTTCTTTGTTATCAAGATGGCCTTTGCTTAAAAAATGTAAATTTAAATGACATTACGTTTACTGCTTGCCCTTCACTTGCTTGGAAATATTCCAAATCCCTGCCGGGTACAGCTCTATAAAAGTAAGTCAGACCTTTACTTTATGATGTTTGGGTTTCATTTTCTTTAACCACACAGTAAATAGGGACCCTGTTTGACTTACCTCGCTGAACAAAAACTAATCCATCTTCTTCTGACAGTCCAGGTTCAATTTCTCACCCTTATCATATTTTCTGCTGCAGTAAATTGCCTTTTTTGATTTTTCTCAGCTCAGAGAAGGGAATTGATTAAATTGTGAGTCTCAACGGCATAGAGAGAAAAAAGAAAAGCTCACTTAAAGAAAACTACAGTGGAGCCCCTGAGGCTAAGTAAGTGTGGAGTATAATGTGTCTTTATCTTGGACTAATGACACAACCTCTCTGGTATTCCCAGAACAGCGTGTCCCTCTGCTAATGCTTCAACCCAACATTAATGTGAGTGAGATCATACAAACGTGCACAGAAATCTGTTTTCACATCAGACATTAGCTCAGCCCCTAAATGCCTCTGGTGAGAGGAGGTTCAAATTCTAACAGAGATATTCATTTTCTCATGTTTGATGTAAATAAGATACTCTTATTCATTAAATTCACCCCACTGCCATTTGACTTCACACTCAGGATGGGAGGTCGAACGATTCAACATGCTATATTTGCCTACTGTGGGCTAGTCTGTATTTATGATGAACACAATGCACCTTTGGCTGAGATGTGGCACGGCTAAACACACGAGGGACAAATCATAACCACATGCGTTTGATCAAACCTTCAACATTGGAGGGAAGATCTCCTCTTGATCACTTCTTTAACTGAAGCGCTGAGGCCCAGATAATTGTATTGACCTATGAATCTGCTGAGCAAAATCATAGACTGTATATAGAACGGACGCCATCTGCCTCCTCGCTGAGTGAAGCCACCCCAAGAACAGCACCCTCTGGTGACGGGCTGCAGTATAGGTCATAAATCCCGCCTCCTCCAGTAATCTCTATGCAGCTGTGGACAAACCTCAGAAATATATTGCACAGAATTTAAATTTCTCTCGCCCCTGCTTGCAATGTTCACATGTAGTTACTGTAAGACTGGTTTGTGCTCAAGTCCTCTTTTTTCTGTGCAGCTCCATTTTTAAAAGTTATTAGGGGTTAATGTTTTCTATGATTGACTCTTTATACAGCCTATGGGTGTACGAAGATTGCGTAGCTCACCTGGGGGATATGCTGTTTGAGCCGAGCGTCATCACAGCAACTCTGTGACTCTCCTGCCGAATGCGTACAATGCTACTGCGCAAGTGGTGGAGTGCTTACAACTCTACTACGCAATGTTGGTTTCAGGAAGTGAAGAAAAACCTGGAAATACAGTGATCTTTTGGCTTCAAATCTGTATACTGGCGGAAGGTGGAACCCAGTTGTCCATAGCATATACAGTCTATGGGCATAATACATAAAAGTTATGGGCTGCACCTGTATGTGGCCATACTTCTGCATTCCTGTTTTTGAATTAAGCCAATCAGAAGTGAAGGTGGGACACCTTTGGTTAAGAACAGACCATTTTGTTCTACCACGGTTTTCGTAAGTGACTTTTAATTACTTCCTAATCTTACCAGCAAATGCAACCAAACCTGTGAAGGTGCTTGAGTAAATTGTGCTTGTCCTGAGACTGAATCCAAATAAACTGGGAGAAAATATTAATTAAAGTATTCTTTTAAAATACAAAAAATGTCAGGAGTATTCCTTAAAATACAATTTTCTCTTGTCCTACCCCCTTAATGACCAAAATCAATCCCTAATAAAACTGTTAGAATTTGAATTACCTTTCTTTTTCATAGATGTCTGCTGTAATTGTGAAAACTTTTTTAATCAACATAATATTTTAAATATCAATTATTATGCAAGGAATAAAATGACTTTAGATCTTGTTTTTCCCGCTTCTTTACAGCGTGAATCATCAATGAGAGCAGCTGAAAAGCAGAGAGGCCAACACGCCAGGCGTGATACCGATGTACAGAGATGACATACTTACAGAAAGAGAGAGAAAGATGGAGGTAAGATGTAGAAACAGGGAAGAAGTTACCACAAAAAGACAGCAGTGAAAGAGGACAGTGTGTCAAGAGGATAAATAGAACAGAGGCACATTAGAGCAGTGTAGCCAGAAAATAGATACCAGAAGAGTAAAACACCCCTCCAGTCCACACATTTACATATTAATGTATAATCAAAGGTATTAAAGCTATTTACTTCTGTGACTTTATGCAACCTTGTTACTCAGACTTCAACCCTGTTACGATATTATTTTAATCAAAAATAATCTTAATGAATTTCTGTGAAACAAGCCTATATCGAAAAGTTGGGAAAGAGATTTTAAAAGTTACTTTATTGAAATCCTGTCATATTTGAAATCAAATTGTTATTAAGGAATGTTACTATAAAAGGGTTGCGTCAAATATAGCAAATAAAAAATATAACAAAAATAATGCCTTTGATGTCTGAGCTAAGGATTTTTCAAAGATTTTCAAGTCTAAATGTACTCTGATGCTGAAATGACCCAGCCCACGGTGGCTGGACACAGGCCACATAAAAAGCTGCTCTAATCAATTTCTGTGTAACTAGGGATTATTGGGAGTCAGATATGTTGTTTTAGCTTTAAACATGGACCAATCACATTCATTGTTTTATATCTACTCTAATATATCATCTGTTGTTCAACAGAAGTGGAAAGTGATGATTTGTTCAAAACTGACAACTTCCAAAACTTTGCAACACAGCAATTTATGATCATATTGGAAGCCAAGCATCTTCCCTCCACACCATGTTGAAGTAAAATAGCTTTTCTGCACAAATGGTCAAATGGATAGAGAGCCTGTTGAAGCACACAGTTTATTTACCATATTCCTCTGAGTGCTTTATGTCTGCATGTCTTCACTGACACTTTACTTTCAACCTTTGACTCCTCTTGACAATTCCCCACCACTCTCTACTCTCGCACAGGTTTTATAAACCAATTTCCCTGAAAAAAATCAATCCATTAGAGCTGGGTTCCAAGAAGGAGAGAGAATTAAATAATCAGGGCAGCAGCGTTGAGAGCGGCTGCTGAAATGAGTCTGTCCAATCACTTAACACGGTGTCGTTTTATATTCCTCAAAGGTGGCTCCACATCAGGCTATAGATAACCTGTTAAAAGACCAATTTACCTTTCACAATTATTTAGACCCACTCTATTAACTAAATTGCAAACTTAAAGTGATCAAGTCTCAGTAGCCTCTCTGCCTTGTTAGGACCACAGGGCTTCACAGAAAACCAATAAATCTACCTTAAAGTGGACGTATTGGAAAAATGTCTCACCTTTAGCAATAAATCACTGAACTTTAAATTGGAAAAGTTAAATTTGCAGCTTTCTTGATGAGATATTCTTATGCATAACATCCAGTAAATGCAGTGTCGGGCACTTGCATAAAGTGGTGAGCTTAGCTTTTCTACATTAAATTGAGAAACACGGCACTAAAGCTGACAAACAGAGAAGAGGAGCAAACTAAGTCTCAAAATCTAGGTAAAAGAAGCTCCCTCGATTTTCCTCTGTTGTAGCTATTTAAGTCAAAGTTAATGCTGCTTTTGTATGTTTATTAGGACAGCTCAACACTACAGCTCTTAGATATATGTAATGGGTGTAAGAGGGGCACAGAGTGAGATGATACATGAACTGTTTCCAAGCATTTATTTACTCCATAGAGCACAAATGAACTTAAAAATTGCCCTCAAGTATCTGTTTTCAAAAGCCTCTACATCCTCAGCATTATAAAACAGGACCACCTGGGGCTCATTTTACTTAAAAATACATTTAAAAAAAACAATAAAATTACACAACAGTATTAGTTTAAGCCACGGTACTGAGTTTTGGACTATTGTCCTTGTTGCAGTCCTGGGAAAGAAGCAAATTATTCCCAGAAGCATGTCCACCTCTGCTACAGTAGGCGGCAACGTGCCCCCCTTTCAGCTTTTTACTATTGGATTGTCTCCAGTTGGCCTGCTGCATATCAAGAGGCAAATGGGATGTACGTCAGATGAGGAAAACACTGTCACTTTTAGCCCTGTGATGCCTGACCCCAAAAATAATGGACAGAAAAGTCTGGTTTCTGTCTGGTTTCTTATTTAACCCTTAAGTGCTTGCATCTTTGTCGCTTTTGCCAGGATGGGAAGTGGTCCACCATCTCTCCTCACATCTGGAGGCACAATAGTCGATTGTCTCCTCCTCAGTGGTGGTGATGGTGTTGGTGTTTGTGATGGTGAGGAGTGTGGTGGAGAGGAGTTTGATGGAGAGGATACTGGTGGAGGGGAGAGTGGTGTGCCAACCCTGACTTTTACTATTCCTGTGCTTACCAGGGAAGAGCCAACTGAGGCCTGAAAACTTCTCAGGGGCATAGTGTTTTTCTCTAGGTCCAGTGTGTTCAGGTCTCTTCGGTACAGGGACCAAGCGTTGATGAGTGCCACTGGGACACTATGCCAGCAAATATACTAGTACATTCATCTGGTTTTTAAGCTGTATTTGTACAGGGCAGACAGCATATCCAGAAGATCCACACCACCCATAAATCTGTTGTAGGTTTCCACAATGGATGATCTAGGAACTATGACATACTGTATGTTTTGGTCTTCTGATCCCAGAGTTTCACGTAGTCTTGGGGAGTGATGCCAGTGAAAGAGGACACTTGGTTGACCGGTTTGTTGTCACACCATCATACAACTATCACGTTGTTTTGGTTGACTCTGTAATCCATAGACCCTTTTCCCTGTTTCCTCAGATCTTTTTCATCCCTAATGCTGCAGTCAGGTACCCTGTTCATCCTGATGGTGCCAAGGTAGTATATCCCTCTCTACTGAAGGTGTTCCAAAAGTGGAAGTGATGTAAAATAGTTATCCGCAAACACTTTGTGGTTCTTCCCTGCAGGAAGTTGATGTCAATTTGAGATCAACATCTCCACTCACAAAACCTCAGACCTTCCTTGTCTGGATCTGCTGCCCCTTTACAAACATCAAAGTCATACAGGAAACCACTTTGTCCTGCATGTTCCTACATTTTTAACCCCCATTTGTGAGGTTACGCTGGCATGTAGACCTTCAGATGAGATCTCCCCTTGAATGGAGCCATGATCTCCTCAACTGCATGATGCTCTTCAGGAGGTACACAAAGGCACTGTTCTTGTAGCTTTTCAAGCCATGGCCTTAGTTTTCATATTTTATCCTTCTTTGAATCTTCGGACACACTGAGGTTGTCTTGGAGGTGCAGCAGTGTTAGCAATTTCTCAAATCGATCTTGTGATATCACATCAGCAACTTTGGGTTACTTTGTTTACATTTTCCAATAGGCTCTTACATTGGGCATCTGTACCAAACCCATGAACATGTACATGCCAAGAACCTGCTCAGTTTCTTTGACATTTGTGTTCACTGATTAGGTTTGTTTGATCTGCAACCAACTCTATCATTTCATCAGTAAAAAGCTGTTTGAAATTCATGTAAGGTGTAAACTCAGACCTTTCTTCAATGGCCTCATCAGCACTTTCAAAAAATGGAACATCTGGAGGGTCAAATTCTGCCTTTCTCCACCTGTACTCTTTCCTTTTCACTTTTTTCTTTGCAGGACTCTTCGATCTCTTGGCCTGTGTCACTGTTGGACCCTCTTTTTCTGTGCACATCTGGTCATCACTTTTATCAAACTCAGCAGCTGGATGTGTCTTCCTCTTTTCCTCTTGACTTTTCACCATGCTTAGTCCACACTGCCTTGTAACGTGAAGTTGTTGTACCCTTGTCTTCCTTTTCAGACCTCTGGTCAGGAGTTTTCTCCTCTTCATCGCTACTATCAGAGCTTTCTTCATTATACTTTGTACTGGGGGTCCAATCCTTACCTTACACTTCATCATCTGCAGACATTAACTCCTCTATGTCACTTGAATTGCCATCAAGGAAGTGGAGGACATCTTCAGCACTGTAGTACCGTTTAGCCATCTAAGGTATCTTAAAACATTTTTATGATGCACAATGGTCAATATAATGCATATCCCAAAAGGATAAAGTTGGTTCTAATCTCTAATTTATTCTATTGCACCGAGAGAAAAAGATTTTGACAATTGAGGGATTTACCACAAAATTCCACTTTTTACCTGTAGTATCAAATTTAAACACAAATTTTCTTCAAAAATTTACTATATACTGAAATGAACCAAATGAAGTAATTATAACTTGCTTCAATAGATTAAGGGCTTGTGTTGATTCAGGGCTCGTGTTGTAGTATTAGTAAAGATTTGAAAGAAAATCTCACTTCAAATCTTCAAAATCACAATTTTCTTTAACTTGATCCAGCGAGTTAGGAACTACTTAGAGAGGACCATTTTGGATTGTTCCATGTGCTGTGTCCAAATTGATGGGAGTGAAAAAGGGTGGGGGGTTAGGGTTAAGTCGTATCGCATACAGGATGCATATTTGGAGCGTGGCAGCAGGGGAGTGCAGCCCCGGTCAGCTGGGCTCAGTGTATAGGAAACAACATGCTCACAACAGGTTGTTTTGCCTTTCTGTGGTCTATTTTCTGCTAATTTGGATATAATTCAGTGAACGTTGACGTTGCCCCTACTGTATGTGATTTGAATGTTTAGGTTTTTGCAGGTTAACTCGTCTTTAATAAAGTAAACTATCTTCCTTTATGCTGTGCTCTTACTTTCAGACAGAGTTAGCAGCTCAAAGTCCTATTGGGGTCCACATGGATCAGGGATTGACCATCAGATTGCTCTGTGTTACTAACAAATCTATAACCAGGAAGTATTTCTCATCTACATGAACTGATACACAGTGAGGAGTTTGTATATGGTGTTTTATTTTGAAATACCAGATGACATGCATGGTTTTTGACATCCTGTCTAGAATTAGCTTCTCTGTGTGGATTGACGTGTGTTAGAAGCGTAGAGCAGCAAAAATAGACTAGTCACATACCTTTAGCAGTGCTGCTTTCGATACACTTCTGATACAATGCTGTAACGGAGCTGATACGCGTCCTGTATGCAATGCTGCATTGATTAGAATGGCAACCAATTTGCTACGTGATACGCGACGCTGCTGCCATGCTCCAAATACGCATTCTGTATGTTTTAGCCTTCAGATTGTACACACGAGGGTTTTGAGTAAACTTTTCACCATATGATGAAGCAAAAGGTTTTAAAAATGCTTGTATCAAATTTGATGCATTTGGTAATATAAGGTTAGAGTTCTGTACCATTTGTTTGGGAAGTTTCATCTGTTTACATCCTTTCTTTGCCAGTCAAGGTTTTGTGCACTATCTGGCTTCTTTCAGACTCAGCATCAGTGTTTGAACCATAGACTGTATGTACTATGGACAACTTGGTTCTGCCTTCTGCCAGTATACAGATTTGACACCAAAGAACTCTTGGTTTATCCGGGTTTTTTCTCCACTTCCAGAAACCAATATTGTGCAGTAGCGTTGTACGCATTCGGTGGGAGAGTCACCAAGAGTAGCTGTGATGACGCTCGGCTCAAACAGTATATCCTTCGGGTGAGCTATGTAATCTTATGTATGCCCATATGCTGTATCAAGTGTCAATCATAGAAAACATGAACCCCCTAATAACTTTTAAAAATCAAGCTCCACAGAAAAAAGAGGACTTGAGCACAAACAGTCTTACAGTAACTACATGTCAACATCACAACCAGGGGGGAGAAAATTTTTTATTCTGTGTAATTAATTTCTAAAGTTTGTATACAGCTCCATAGGGATGGCTGGAGGAGGCGGGATTTATGACCTATACTGCAGCTCGGCACCAGAAGGTGCAGTTCTCGTGGTGGCTTGATCCTAGCGATGAGGCAAACGACGTCCACTCTATATACAGTCTATGGTGCGAACACAGTGGCATGCACAAAACACTTTGGCCGGTTTTAGCTCAACTGCTCCGTAAACATGACAGAGAAACTCAATACATAACTGCGTTACCCAGGTATACGTGTACAACCATGAGAAGTTCAGTTGAGTGTGATTGCCAACTAATGTGACCATAACATTTAAATGTAACTGAGTGCACTGAACAGCTTGTGGGGCCACAAATCAAAAATTAGCCCCTGGTAACTGTAAAATAGTTAAGAAAGACATGAATTTTGATAACAAGTAATCCATACTTTTTTTTTTAAATGAACAGAAGTTAATGTTGACATTAAAGCATGTCAAAGGACCTATCCTCCCTCCTCCTGCTGCAACAGACACTCTTTCTGCTTCCAAAGGCTTTTTCATGGTGTTGCTCACTTACAAGAGCCAGTTTGTAGAGCAGCTCTGTTTTCAAAGCAGCGTGCATCTTAACCAATTAGACCCTTCACACAACACCAGCATGAGCAGCACATCCCATGTCTGTCTGCAATGTTGAATACATCGAGAATAGAAGGCTTGCCTGGTGTTTCTGGCTTTTCAAAAAATAATCTGAACAAAGATGAATTGAGGGAGGGCTGGATTGTCAATATATCCGCTATGTTTATGTTAGAAGTATTAAAAAATCATGAAGGCACCTGTTATCTTTTTCAAAGCAAAATCCTGATCTTTATTTTCACAAGATACTTTTATTCAGCTGTGTCAGGACAGTTATTTAGAGAAAGACTTGACTAGTACAGGAAAAAAGGTTGGCATAGATTATAATGGCGCAAGCAAGCTATGAAATAAATCAAATCTTGTCATCATGTTGATCCAGTTTCTAAAGGAAACATTTTCCTCTTCATCACACTCCTCACCAAGGTTCTGATTATATACACCCCTGACACTGTTATATGACCTGAAAGCAGCTCCTGGTCTAAAAAGATAAATAAAACAGAGTTACAGCGCTCTACATTATGTGATAAATCAAATGACTTAAGATTTAATTCGATATAATCCAGTATGATCTCCTACTTCCTGTCTCACTTACAATATTGTGTGTCAGTGCATAGAGGTGTGCTTTTAATGTAAATTAAAATGTCCCTTCAAAACTTTCACTCAAAGAAAAGATTATTTTGTCAAATTCACTGTTAGGTGAGCAGTACGTCTATTTTCTTGCACCGATTACAATGTGCAGATCACATCTTGACTGTCCTGTAATATATATTAGCTGAGGTAATAGGTAGTCTATTGTCTAAGTTTGGGTTAAACTAAAGGTAGATACAGATCTTACCTGCAGCCATTGAGCAGTCAACTTGCAGTCTGTGATGGAAAGAGTCCTCACACTTTGAAGGCATAGACTGTATATAGAGTGGATGACATCTGCCTCCTGACTGGGTGGCGCCACCATATGAACAGCCTCCTCTGGTGATGTGCTGCAGTATAGGTCATGAATCCCACCTCCTCCAGCAATCCTTATGAAGCTGTGGACAAACTTTAGAAATTAATTACACAAGAATATAAATTTTTACCTACTGGATGGTATGTTGACATGTAGTTATTGTAAGACTGGTTTGTGCTTAAGTCCTCTTTTTTCTGTACAGCTCTATTTTTAAAAGTTATTAGGGGTTCATGTTTTTTATGATTGACACTTGATACAGCCTATGGGTGTCAGAGATTGTGTAGCTCACCCAGGGGATACATTGTTTGAGCCGAGCGTCATCACAGCAGCTCTTGGCAACTCTCCCGCCGAATGCGTACAATCCTACTGCGCAAGTAGTGGTTCCGGGAAGTGGAGAAAATCCTGGAAATACAGAGAGCAATTCGGGTCAAAATATGTATAATGATGGAAGGCGAAGCCAAGTTGTCCATAATCTATACAGTCTATGGTTGAAGCTCTCATGCATTCAGCGTGAGGCTGATTTGAGGTTCCCCACCTTAGCATGGATGCTGCCTGCTGCTACAATGCTGCAGTGAAGTCAAGCAATACAAAAATGACCAAGAAGCTTAATTTCACATATGTTAGAAGTTTAAATAATATTTTTTTTTTAAATTGATGCCCATGGATATACAGTATGTCAATTTCCGTACATGACAATGTTTCTCATTAAAGTTACGAAAATTTGGTATTTTATTTGTATAATAGAAAAGCCAAAATAACCACTGTACATTGCAAATGGATCCACTGGCGTCTGCATGTTGTAGTTTTTTTCCCCATAAAATCTAAATCTGAGTCTGTAGTAGCTGTTTCCAAGTAGACTGTAAGTGCACCTCAGCTCCATCCCTTTGTTTGACGTGGTAAGTTCAGTTAAGATTGTTTTTCCATGAACAATTGGGTAATGTGATGGAGACTGTTCATTTTGTCCAGTTCTGCCCAACACTGTAAGACTGAGTTCATGCAACAAGACAATAAAGCTTACAACTTATTCTGTCACCTGTCACAACAAATGATTTTATCTTAGTTAATTAGGCATATCTAAAGTTCTTTATCGTAAATGTCAGCGACTGACAGCATCTCAAAATCCATTCAGTGCGACCTGTATGTTGACCTTTGAATTAATAGGCGGTGCATTGTGGGACGTGTACAAGGTGCCAGAGTGTGAGGTCAGCGTCTAAAATCGAACATCTCCTCACTTTGTTGCATCATTAGGTTGTAAAGTCAATAGCTCTACAAATCTTTAGCCCATGCTGTGTAAAAAAGACAAAGGGGAAAGAAAGTCACTGGAAAGTTTAGGTAAATGAATCCCTCTTATCAGAGATGTTAGTTTCTGTATCAGATCTAAAAATAAGATTAGGGGAGAGTGGGGTAAGATGAGCCGTTTTTCAGATTTCGGATCACTACATCAAGGCAATCATAGTTTTGTCTCTAACTAGTGTATCTGCATATATTCCCAGATGCTGTGCATCCCTTCAAACCAACAAAGAGTGTAAACGTAATTGTCTTGATCATGTAGCATGCCAAAAAAAAGTGGTCTGCTATGGTCAACTTACCCCATGTATGGGTAAGTTGACCATAGCAACTATTCAACTGGTACAATGTATATATACATATATATATATATATATATATATATATATATATATATACACACACACACACACACACACATATACACATATACTGTATATATATATATATATATATATATATATATATATATATTTTTTTTTTTCTTTACTATTATTGCATATAACTGCTAAAAAGCTGTTTTGTAAAAAAGTCATTTTAACATGAGAATGTCTTTAAGTGATTCAGAACATTCCCAGCTGTAATTTTGGAAAGAAAAAGTAACACATTTCAACAATCTGAACTGAAACTCTGATCCTCTCATCAGACTCCTTTACTTTCTCAGTTCAGCCACTGGCTTATCTTACCAAAGAGCTACTATTATGACTTAATTAGCCCTCTAAGCCCTCTAAGCCCTTGACGTCATTTTGTAGCTTATACCACAATTAAAGTATAAAACAATTCAAAATGATCTTTTTTGGTCTGCACACAATTCTAATAAAACTTATAACAGACTAAATTCACTTTCTAGGGTAAAAAATTTAGGGGGGGAAATAAATGTCTAACCCCTTTACCCATGTGCTTCTAACCTTTACAGACTTCATGAGTTGATGCCCATCTCCTAAATATTCGGTCACATAATTAATTTATTTTACCATTTCCAAGCAACAGGGGGTGGCTAAACTTACCCTTTGGCTCAACTTACCCCACTCTGCCCTTCTTTTTTCTCTGATGTATTCTGCACTCCATAGCACCCGTTAAACAAGTGAGGGGAACTGCTCCAATAATGGCATTCCTCATCTATAAGCTCCCACAGTCTATTTTAGCAAGGGATCACTGAAAAAAATAATAGAATTATCACAAAGTTTAGATGACGCAGTGAAGCACTTGTCATGGCCCACTATCAACTATATTGTTTGAACCACGAGTTAGGAACTTTGTGAAAAAGGTCAGCACAAACTTTGTAAGAAATGGGACCATTACTGTGCCAGTGAGCTTTATGGTCCAAAAGACAGGTTGGGTCTGCTTAGGTTGTAAAGAGAAGGGATGTGTCTAAGAAATAATGTGAAGTCAGTAATATAAGCCACTGAGATCTGTCCATTTGTAATTTTTTTTAAGGAACTAATTCACCAGCAACTCAAGTCCATGTGTCTCCACTTCCACTGGCTCTGCTTTGTTGCTTTTCTGCTGAGTCAGCTCTGGCAATCTAGAGCCCTCTGCACTCGATATACCCAGTATTTATTTTTGTAAGATGCCAGAATTAACCCTTTTAAACCCATAGACTGTCTGATAAATGGATGCAGCACCTGTGACATCAATTTGTTTCTAAAACAGGATTTTAAAGCCAATCGGTGTCAGTCGCCATAGTGGACATGCTGACTTAACCTAATCTAACTTGAATTGTAAAGTCAGCTGTGCCTCTCTGATTCGCTGATCTTGTAACCTCAATGACTTAGGCCACATTAGCCTATAGACAATTAAAATGGGCTTTTATGTCTTCTTACTCCCTTTGTTAGCCAGTATTTTATTTCTATGTGGGATTTTCCTTTTCCATTGATAATGCACCCCTCTGTGTGCTCGTCTCTATCAGTGTGTGCCTCGCCACCCTCCAAAGTCATGTCCCAGTGATGATTTATCATGTAAACCCAGTTACAACACCTCTACCCAAAAATCTTTAGATTTGCATCTTTATATCAGTCATAAAACATTGTTTTAAAGTGGTTTACATTTTTATTACTCTCATGGAACATAAAGAAAATGCTGTACTGGAGGATTGACAGGTAAAGTTTGCAGAAATGTATCTGTCTGTCAGCATGCCTGGCTGCTTGCAGCTGTCTAGCTATCAAAGCAACAGGAACCAAAGAAGCTGACTGAGAGGATTCAAGTTTTGTGTATCTTTTGCTTAATAAAAACACTGAAAAGATGATTTTAACCTCAACATAATGAACAGAAATAATGAATATGACTAAAAAATGAACATGACTTTATAGAGCCTCCTCAAAGAGGCCACAGAATGATTCATTTTGGCCAGCCAGAACATGTTGGCTGTGGCCATAGTCTGTCTGTGCAGTCTGGCCTTACAGCTAGCAAACCCTAAGCTTGTGGCGCTTCTTTCTTTTTCTGCCCCCCTCCAGACCACCATTCTCCTCTTCCCCCTCCTCCTGAAACTTTAATTTCATCCTCCAGAGGGTCATCCTGGGGGTGGTGATCCTCCCTCGTGTCTGGTTGTCTCTCTCCTTTTTCTCTGTAGTCTTCTGAAGGTCCTCCTTGTGCTCCATCCTGAGAGGTAAGTGAAACAAGAGCAAAGCTAAAATCATATTCAAAAAGACAGCACAGTGCAGGTTCATGAAAAGAACCATGTGTCCATATCTGTGTGGCTGAGAAAGGGTCCAGAGGTCACACTGCTGTTTTAGAGCTGATACCAGAGCCAACATCACCTCCCATGAATCTGACTGAAGTTGCTGTCCTTCAACTAACCAGAATCCTTCCCCAGGAGTGTACAGCAACACCTTCTTCATGATCCTGCTGGACAGGGAAGCAGTCAGACATAATCACAATTGACTAATTAACTTAATCAAACAATCAATCTTTAAGCTTTATCAATACAATCTATTCTTAAATCTGTGCATAAAGGTCTCCATTATGTTTTTTTTCTAGGCCTGACATTCACCTACAGCAGAGTAATGAGGAAGACTTTGTCAGTCTATTGAGTCACCACCAAAGGGCAAAGCTGTTAAGTGTAATGTATAATGATTTCTCACCATGAAATATTTTCATTTTAATATTCAACAAAAAGGATGACCAAACTTTGAACTGCTGAAATGGAGTTTACTAAAAGTCCATTATAAAAGAAGTGTGTTTTATTCAACTTTAAACAGCAAGTCAGAGTTGAACTAGAGTCTGAATCAGATTTGAAAACCAAAAAAAGTTATTTCGGGCTTCAAACCACCAAAAAAAAGCATTAGTTTGGTGTCAGATCCAAGTCTAGATAACCAAAATAAACTTTACCTTAAAAAAACAAAGTAAATTGTGATAAAACACGGCAAAGTCTGATTCAGATTTGAATTAATTAAATGAGTTTTCATTCAACAACAAACAACCAAATTAAAGTATTCCTTGCAATCTTATCAAAGTCAGGTAATACTCAAAAATAGTCCAGTAAAAAGTGCAATTCAAGAATAAACAAGACTGGTGTGATCAAACGAATAATCGTTTTAAAAGAAAAAAATAATAAATAAAAGTAATACAAAATTTTAAACAGGAAATGCCATAAAAATTTTAGCCATCAAAGCCATGTCTAATGAAATGTCTAATGAAACTGTATTTAGAAAAAGTAAAAGCCATTCAAACTATGAAAGAAAAGAGGAGAAACTGCAAAAGGTTATTTGCTTTACACTGGCAACAACATTAAAAAGTGAAATTGTGGATGCTATTTAAAGCATCAGACCACACTTCCCCTTTGCTGCTCCTGCCTCCTCCTCTCTGCCAGCCAGTCCTTCACGGGGTCTCCCTTGGCCTGGAGCAGCAGTGCTCTCCTCTGTGGTGACTGTGGCTGTAATTCCTTGTCTTGGCCTGGCCACAGCACTTGCACAGTAAGTGCTGGAAGTTTTTCCTCCTTCTGAGTATGAAAAGTGTTGCAGAGGCACAGAGATGGACAGAGTACTTGACCCCAGTACTTGAGTAAGAGTACAAATACTCCCGGTCAAAATTTACTCCGCTACAAGTAAGAGTAGCCCAGTCAATACGTTACTCAAGTAAGGGTAAAAAAGTGCTTGCTTTTAAATGTACTTAAGTGTTCAAGAGTAAATGCTTTTAAATGTACTTATGTGCTTCAGGAAGATGACCTCATTGGCCCTGCTGGCTTTCCTGTGCCCCATCTTTGAAAGGCACTTAGTGTGGAAAGCGGACAGGCAAAGAGATGTCAAGCTCATGTTTCTAATAAAAAGTGTGAAAATGCACAGAGGGCTGAACCATCAAGCAGTCTTATCTACCATTTCAAGTTATTCATGCCCAGGAAATTGACATGCTGGGTGGAGCAGGCCTTGAAGCACCCTTTCACACCCTGGTAGTGAGGAGGGAGGGATACAACGGCCTTTTCCCTGTCAGACAGCCACCACCATAGGATTATTTTCTTCTTCACCTGTTGCTGTATCTCAAAGCTTTCTTGATGCAGCTTTGCCAGGGCCTGGGCAAGAAGCACGGCATACAGGTAGCCACCGTGGCCATCGACTGCCAAGAGGTCCTGCTGAACAGGCGTATAGCAGGATTCATCAGAAGGTCTGACCCTGGTGCTGGTCAAACTGGAGCCCACTGGCACAGAGTACCAGTTCTTGGTTACCAGGGTGTCCTCTGGCCTGGAGAGCGGTTCATTTTACGGCACACAGTCTGAGAACTTTAAATGAGTGATGGAAGTATGATGGGGAACAGATGAACGTCACAGCAGGATACCAACACGAACTTAGCCACACATGTGGGGCTCTATTTTGGTGCCTCGCCGGAGACGTGCCGCAAGCGCAGAGTCAATCAGATCCGCCGCGCTGACAAGGCGTTCCCAAGCACATTTTGGTATTTTGGTGAGCCGCGCAGCCCGGCGTAAGTATCCCCCCTCCCTAACTCAGCTCCTCCCGGCAGCATAAATCATAGACGGGGAGGATAGGGGGTTTAACACAGCCGAGACCTGTTTTCACCAATCACATTAGCTCCTCTCCTCTCCTTTAAATCCGCCACAGGCGAGGCGTATTACTATTTTCATGAAGTAGTCAAAGAGATCAAGAGATGTCTGAAGACAGTAATGCCACACGATGGCGACAGAGGGCAGCTGCTCAACAAGTGTCCTCCACACTCTCTCATCTGAGCACAGATGGATTTGGTGTGCGTAATGTTGGACCCACTGGTAAGACAAACACCCTTTTCCACAAATAAAGACACTCACATAAAGTTGCATATATTCAAACCTCACGTGACAAAGGTGGGTTGAGCGCACAGATCACAACATAAACTCCAAAAAGGCATTAAAATCAGAACCATCTGTGCGTAAATGACGCATCGTGCTCCGTGGCCTGGCTCTTTCTTTCATAGATGTTGGCATATAAAATAAATTTGGCTCACAAAACTGAATATTATAATATCCGTATGTCGGCTTAAAGTAGATAACGCATCTGAGCACTGAAACAAATCATCTGTTCAGCCGCAGCAGCAGCAGGAAGACGGACAGAGGACACGGAGACGTGTCCAGGTCGAGCTGTGCGAGAAATAAGAGGAAGAAAGAAAAGGAGGGAGACACATTACATATCTTGTTAACTTCATCATGTGTGTTTATTTACTAGATATTTAATTTAATTTGATGCAGTTTCAGCTGTATTGATTCGGTCAGGTTGTGTGTCCAAACGCGTGCCAAACGCGCTCATATAGATCAGAATATATCGATATAGATCTAAATGTATGTGCTGACTCAGATTAATAGTTGTTGATCATTATTTATTGCACTGAAATCTGCCTGACACTGTGGAAACCTGCCGGTGAGGCATCAGTGACGTATGTCGATACGCCGCCGGTCTACCAAAATACTACTGGACCAGCTGCGTTCCGCCTTGCGCTGAAAGCTGACCAGGTTTGAATCGGCGAGCTTTCAGCGCACGTTACACGCCAGTGGCGAGCACGAAAATGTCACTGCGCCAGCTGATTCTGTCAACACCTCCCCCTGCCACCCCACCACGCCCAGCTTGGCGGATCTCGGCTCGCCTCCGTGCGACTCAGTCCACGAAAATACCAAACTCGCCTTACGCCGGGCTCCGCCAGACGAAAATACAACTGCGCGGGGCTCGCCGCCCTCCGCCGCCTCACCGGCGCGAACGAAAATAGAGCCCGTGGTGTCTACTTTTTCTTTCGTTATTGTGCACTGAGAAAAGTTTACTGAATGTGTATCTCTCCAACAGCTCACTTGGTGTTCACATATTTCACAACAGTTTCCTCTAGCACAGTGGTTCTCAAGTCCAGTCCTCGAGGCCCACTGTCCTGCATGTTTTGGATGCTTCCCTGCTCCAACACACCTGATTCAAATGATCAGCTCGTTATCAAGCTCTGTAATGGCTTGATAACGAGCTGATCATTTGAATCAGGTGTGTTGGAGCAGGGAAGCATCCAAAACATGCAGGACAGTGGGCCTCGAGGACTGGACTTGAGAACCACTGCTCTAGCAGAACCAGAATTGATCCGAGTCCAAGAGAAATACTGGAAGTCAGAGACCACTACAACTGGAATATTTTGAACTGTTTTACTGTGCTGGACATTTTCTCACAAACAAACTTCATGTCCTTAGGCCTGCCACTGAAACATGTCTGTTATCATGAAGTTGAAGGTTTTAGAGAGAAAATAGTCTGTTTAAAGCTGGGACTGACTGAAAGACACCATCACAGCTTTCATGTTCAGTGAGTGTTGACTGAGTGAGCTGAAGCTGTCAGACCACTTGTTCTTCAAAGGTTTGAGGCCATGAACTATCTATAAGCCTTAATAATGCCTATCATACATCAGAGGGCTTGGAAAAACTTTGAAAGACTGGCATCTGACACCCTCTCACATCTAATGTTGTGTTCACACCAAGTGCTAGTAAAATCATCTTTTATTTGCCTAAATCTGGACGCACAATTATTGCGTATTAACTCATTGAGAGCCAGGTTCATTTATGCAATTTTCACCCAGTGCCACCTTTGACCGCATAGAAATTTCAGTATCTTTCAGGACACACATAATATCTTGTGCTTAAACTAGAATTAAGTGCAATATCTCAAAAGAAAGGAGTGAATCTCTTCTTTTATCAGAAAAAAAAGTTGGTCTCAAACCCACTCTTGTGTTTAGTTCTTGCCTGCTCAATGCAGTGTGGTCATATCATCTTTGCCGATCTGGAAAAAGAAACCTGGTAAAATACATTTTTTACGAAGGAGAGACTTTCAAGCAGAACTCTGACTATTTCATTTCACTTCAAACTACTTTACCGGTGGCAACCAGGTCATCCCTCCTTGGACACCACTCAGATCTGATTGTGATAGGTCACTTTGTGATGGCTGGGAGTCCTATTGCCTCTTGGAAACCTGACATGCGACTGCTCGCGTCCTCCTCGCTGGGACTGTCGCTAAATTCCAGCTCAGTCTCGCTCACCAGTACCCGCACAACGACATGTCAGAAAATTGTGTCTTTGATTGTCTGCTGACAATGTAAAGGTCGGTTACCGGGATCTCCACTGGATCCAGAGACGGTAGCGCCGCACCAACAGTTGCAGGTTGGGGAGGAGCGCCCTCTGGTGGAAATCTGTCATTGGCACTGAATGAGTTAACCAGATTAATTTGTGTGAACAATTTGCTTGATTCACACGAACGACTCGTTTGATCAGTGCAAATGACTCGCTTAGTTTTGTTGTTTGTGTTGTCTCTGCTGAATGCCATCAAACATAGCAGAGGTTGACCACACTGTGAGTATCTGTTGAGTTTAAACAACTTAAGCAATAATCAGACTTCCTCACTCT